ACATTATCAGGCAGGTTCTGATTGAAACTTCTGGCTTTCAGGCTTTCCAGGTCCACTCTGACATCGTGGAAGAAGACGCCAGCACCCCAGAGGTGGAGACCCAGGGCCTGGACGCCTCGTCTGGACTCCCTCAGGACCAGGAGGTCAGCGCCCGGCAGGCCGCCGTTCCCGCTGAGGACGACAGCGCCAGCAGCGGTGCATCCACCGCCAACGACAGCGAAAGCAGCAGCACTCCAGAGGAAGAGGAGGAAGGTGCCAGCTCCCCCAGTGACAGCGCCAGCGCCGAATCCGAGGACACCCAGAGCAGCGAGGAGGCCACCGCCACGCCCGGCGCCGCCGACAGCGACTCCGACGAAGACGATAGCGTGGAAAGCGACTCCGACGAGGACGGGGGGGACCTAACCCCACCGAAATGCCGGAAGTCGTCACCGCCAAGTAAGGCGTCCAGGAAGCGGGGCGGACGGTGGCGTGATCGTCACAAAAACAGCTGGAGAACAGACGTCCCCTCTCCTCTCCTGAGGCCACGAAAACTGCAGGGTCAGACAGGGAAAACCACAGCTTCTTTACTTATTGCTCTAATCTTCTGCAGCATTATTTATCTGATTATTTCTGAACGTCTGGATGAAAACAGACGTTCCTGCTGTGGGTGTTTAGGTTAATTGGTCCCTGAGGGGAGAATCCAGAGGATGTTCACAATGACGACTGCTACAGGATTCTGCCTCCATTCACTGCAAGTCAAAACTGCTCAATTAAATCCTCTTGTCTACTCCAACAAACAAGGCAATCCACATTTATTAACGGCTATTTGCAAATTGATTTCTGTGCTTTAGAACTAGAGGAAAATTATTTTTTAAAACGATTACTTGTAATATTTTGTGTTTAATTGGAAATTTGCAGCCAGTGTGGCTAATGCTTTGTTGCTAACTGGTACATATGTTTTCTGGTGTACACAAAAGGATGCAGACGGATTAAATTGCATTGCAGTGCAGACTTCAGTCAGGAAAAAAACAGTTTTCATACATGCAACACAATCTTGTTCATTTGCACAGATCCTACCTGCTCTATGTGTTGTTTACTGTAATGTATCATATTGTACCATTTCTAAGGTAAAAATAAAGTTCTTTTTCATATAAACACGACTTTTGTTTTTGTCTTTATGTTGACATTTTGTTTTTATTTGCATGAGGGGGGACAGACAATCAAAACATTTAATAAAGCTTTGACTGTATTATTTTAAACTTTTTGTTTTCGGTTCATATTAAGCCGCTGTACCAGCAAAAATAGGTTGTAATTTATTTAAAAATGATGGTAATTTTATCTGAAGTGTTCAGATGAAAATATTAATTTTTGTTGCTCTTTAAGCAACATCAACAGATTCCATACAGGAAAGTTATTTTAACCACAACTCTTTATTTTGTGTGAAGGAATTAACCAAAAACACAAAGATGCTCTTAAAGATATTATGGTTCTACAATTGATTAAAACTGCATAGCTCAAGTCTGTTCAGTCTAAAATCAGCCTTTTATTAGCATGCTAAAAATTAGCTTAGCTTGCTAATGTTGCTGATTTTATTATTAAAATCAGGGGAAAATAAAATATGAATATATCATAACTGTTTTAGTTGTAACACATAAACAAACACAAAACACCCTAGAAGCGAACATTTTCTTAATCACATTATGTTAGTTGATTGGGACATGCTAGCATGTTAGCCACTCATTGTAATACTTCTAATCGAAAACTATCCAAAAATTATACCAATAAAATGTAAAATAGGAATAGAAAAGCTTGTATCATCGCAGTATTTTGCTTGTTTCATTTTTTGTTTTGTTGTTTATGTTTTAGCGAGCAAACAGAAATGAGCTAACAGTAGAACGTTAAAGTAAATTCAAATAGACGTTAAAGAAAATCCAAAATTTACACAATTTTGTTCTATTTTTGTTATTTTATAGATGTGTTAGCTTATTTGTTTTTCATTTTATGATGCTAATTGAGTGAATTTTATGTGAAAACGTGTTCCTTGTAAAATTTAACTTCTTAGGCTGTAAGACTCGAGAGCAATTTAGAGATCAAATTAAAAGTAGAGTTGTGTTTTTTTGGACTGTGGAAGGAAAATGGGGAACTTAGAGAAATCCTAGTTCTAACTATGAATATTCGTAGAAAGATATAAAAAGACTGGAGAAGGAAAAACCAGAAGAAACCAAAAGAAAACCTAAAAATCCAGACAGCTCACAGATGTTTGTGTGGCAGCAAAGAATCCTGCACTGTGTAATTTTAATCCCTATTATTTTCATAAATTTGTCGAAATCGTGTAATTTCAAAGCGTATAATATGCTGCTACAGGACAGAATGAAACACCGGCCTTTGTCTTGACTTTATCTCCTCGTCTTTTTACGTCTTTTCTTCTCTTCACATATCGCAGACACATAAAACCGTCAAACTGATTACAGGCTCCATTTTTCTGGAAGCCTCCAGACTGCGGCCTGAAGCCCCTGAGGAGGAAAGACGAGACAGACAAACACGTCTCCAGATACGCCAGCATGAAGAGCAGAAGATCTACGAGCAGAAGAAATCCAGGCAGAAAACAGATTTTATTCAAGTCGGTTTGGTTTATGAGCAACAGGAACATAACTGAGTCATTTATACATGAGTCAGTGACGGGAAGCATGACTGATGTTTCATTAAATTCTTAAATTAAACTGTGAATATATAGAAAAGAATGAAACAAACAAATATTTTATCATTGTTAACTGAACCTGTCTATGCAGATATTAAGGGCACAACAACAAAAACTGTTATATAACAAATACAGACACAGACTTGAGTTTCAGTGAAAATTTACGTTTTCAAGTTGAATATTTTTTTTGATACGTGTCTAAAATGTTAAAATGTTCAGTTTGAGGGCTGTCAAAAAGGAAAGAAAGAAAGAGGAAAAAAGTGAGGTATAATTCTTTAAATGTTTGTTCTTTTACTAGAATTTAGGATTATGAAATTTTTCCCCAAATACCAAACAAAAATTACATAAAACTCTCAATAATTTGTATCATTCTTGTCTAAACTTTTCATTCCAGTTGAATCAAAAGATTTCTTTCAGGAAACAGGCTGCAATACTCACTTTCCTCCACTAGATGGTGATAAGTCGCTAAAGATTCTTAAGAAGAGCCTTGAATTCACGATCCATAACCAACAATGAAATTAAGAAAAGTCTGTTTAGGTCTCATATATAGATATATTTGAACTAAACACGTGAAGAGGTAATTTTGGTGATGATGATGATGATGATGATGATGATGATGATGATGATGATGATGATGATGATGATGATGATGATGATGATGATGATGATGATGATGATGATGATGAAGCCTTCCAACCTGAAAGACTTGGAGTTCATCACCAAACATATAATAATACCAGAGAAGAAGAGTTATCGGCATAATTTACATGGGATTTTTAATTAATTGTTACAAAAGAGTTACTTCATAATATTTTTCAGTCAGAATCTTAATAATCATCGCAATTTACTTCCATTTGTGTTTATTTCAGACAACATAAGTAATTTAAATATCGGAAAGAAAATCTAGCAGTTCCTAAGCAATTTGGTATTTGTTACTTTTGGCTAACTGAAGCTACTTAGCAGCGTGAAGCCAACCCAGTAAAAAGATTATACCAGCTGTTTCAAGTCACAGCATTGGCATAAATAGCTAATTTTAGAATCAGTTTTAAGAAGTAACAAGCATTAAACATTGGTTCTGAGTCCATTCTCTGAGATACAGCGAAGACTTCCTCTGGATCTAGAGAAACGTGATAGAAGGCTGACTTTGTAACCATCTTTATGTGACTCTGAAGGTTCAGGTCAGAATCTATCAATAAACCCAGATTTTATGTCACTAATGCAACAAAACAAAAAAACCTTTTAATGAGAAGACATTTTCCAGACTTCACTTCCATCTGGTGACGTCTGGACATGTCCTGTGGGGGACAATTACCCCCCACAGGGGGACAATTAACCCCACAGGACATGTTGTTGTTTTCATTGTGTAACAAATGCCTGCTGGTTCAAGGTTTGCGTGCCAGTGCAACATTATCACCACCCAAAGTTTCTCTGCAGAATATTCTGTTCACAGATATGATTGGTGTCATTAAGTGAACCCATCAGTGGTTGTTCATGCTGGGACTTGAGCATCATGACTCCTCTGCTCTTCCTCTGAATAATGAGCTTCATAAAAACTAATATTACGTTACAGTTTCACTGCAGTGGCCAAATACTCTGGACTTTGGTCTAAAATGGAGTGTTGGAGTCGGATGTTAGCATTAGATTCCCTAGCTACCGTGCTGAAATAGCACGTTAGCATTAGCTTCCACAAAATATTATTGGCATTTGGCAGAAGTGTAGCACTAAAAACAGTGAAGCAATTTAACATTAAGTTTAGCTAAACACCATGTTGGTGTAGCATTTTAGCTTTAGTGTAACCAGTGTTTATGACCAGTGCTGCAGGGTTAGCACTGGTAGCAGAGCTAACTTTGTAGTTAGCGGTGGTCACCTCTGCTAATTGCCTTCAAAAGTCACTTATTTCTATGTAATCCAGTGGAACCAGTGGATCACTGGATTTGGTGGATTATGGTTAACTGGATCTTCACCAGTTTGTCCTGTAAAATTTCTCGATGTTAGATTTGTTTTACATAAACTGCAACAATCAGCATTTGTCTGTATTTAGGTGGATAGTTAGTGGGAGTGGTTGCCATTTTGTTTATTTACAATTATTATTCTGGTAACTGTCTCAGTAAATAAAGATGCTAGTATTGTTTTGGTCGTCCATGTTGTGTTTAATCTGTGTAAAATATAAATTTATAACCCATAATCAACACTGTGGCAGAAACTGTACGTGTTAAAAACCTCGACACACCCGACAGCGTCTGTAATAAACACCCAGCTGCGGTTCACCACAAGACTTTGGCTTTTAGTCACATTTGTGTTTATACAATAATCACAACTCAGCAAATCTTTAACAGAAACCTTTATTCACTTCCAACAGGGTTAAAAATTACAATCCGGAAAAGATTGACATGCAAACATAGATTTGTTTGTTGCTTAACATAAAAGTAATTCATAGAAAAATAAAAAAAAGCTGCTTGACGGAAAAACACCGCAAGTCTAAAGAACATTAAAAACAGGATCAAGGACACATATAAACATTATATATGTGTGTAAAAAACATATATTTTGATTCCATATAGGAAGGATTGGACATAAAATGCTATTTATTTCCAATGCATTATTTTAATGGGAGAAATTACATTTTACCTACTAAAACACAGCAAACATGTAAAACTTTAAACAAATTTGTTGTTGGTTTTAATGCTAAACTTAAAAAGTGCTCTGTAGGTTTGCCTTAATAAAAGCAATTTTGCTCATTTTCTGTGTCAAGAAAGAAAAAAAATAGAACAATTCAATAAAAATCAGGATTTAAGTCACTTTTAAAATTATTAAATGAATAAAATAGATTTGGGTAAAAGTCAAAATGCAAAAGGTTATTTAACCACAAACATTTGTGTCTTAGTCAATATTTTCTGTTGCAAGATAAGTCAGAGATTTACGACCATACTAAGAAAAACATTTTTAAATTTAATTGTGGGAACAAAATAATAAAATCACGAGAATGAAGTCAAAACATTTTGTGAATAAAGTCACAATAATAGAACAAAGTCATATTTTTTTTAAAATAAAGTCAAAATAATAAAAATAAATTTACAATAAAATGAATTTATTCTTGTAAAACTACGACTTTATTATAGTACGGTTTTATAAGTCCTTATTTTCTTTTATTATTATTATTATAGTGGTCCCAATACGCCGACATAGTCACAATATTTCATTTTGTCCTAAATAAAAATAGAATCCAAACTTGTATCAATCTTGAACTAAATTCAGGGGCCACACAGAATCATTGCAGGGGCCATGAGTGGCCCGCGCCCCACACTTTGAGCTCCCCTGAGCTTCAGATATCTCCCCTCATTTCCGTAGCTCTCAGTGACGTCGGAAGCACGTCCGGGGTGGTGACGTCAGCGGTCACGCCGGTCGCGGGCTCCGGCGTCGTCTCCCGGACCATGATGACCGGCCCGGCCGTGTTGGCCGTGTCCGGCTCCGGCGCCAGCGTGCTGCCGTCTCCCGAGGTGAACGTCAGCGAATCCGTGGTCACGACCAGCAACGGCGGGACGGTGACGGCGGGCGTCACGTCCACAACTTCTTCTTCTACTTCTTCTTCTTCTTCTTCCTCCTCTTCCTCGCCCTCCTCCTCCGAAGACTCCTCGGAGGATTCCTCGGAGTCTTCGGAAAGCTCCGCCAGGTATCGCTGCGGCTGGTTCTTGTCCGGGATGTCGGCGTCTTGCCTGTGGCGAATCTGCGGAGAAGAAATGAAACGAAGCAACAAGAATCGTTTTACTGCTCTGGTATCTGACGTCATGCCCTTTAAACGAACCGGACGATATTTAGAGGGAAAGAAAGTCGATTATAATCGAAGACTTTGGTGGAAAGTGGAGAACAACCACACTTTATGTACATATTTTTGTAAAGTTTTGGCATTACTAATGATTAAATTAAAAATCAGTAAAATGTCACTTTTTTAAATTATGCAATTAATCGATTAATCATCAGAATAATTGATAGATTATTTGATGGTTTGTGTTTTTTCAGTACATAAAAACACCAAATTATGTCATTGTACTTAATGGGCTACAAAATGGGGCCTGCGGACCCTTCAGGGGCCACCAGATGGCGCCAAAAGGCCTGAGAAACCTGGAGGCAAGGTAAGAAAAAAATGCAAAACTACAAAAAAAATTAGCTCATAAATTTATCAGCCATTTTTAAATGTATTCTTTTAATCATAAATTATAACCTTTATTTCAATCATTATTAGAAAATATCAGTTAAAACAACTTATTGAAATGTTATTTTCCACGCTCATCTTTCTAATTAATCAAAGATGGCCGACTAAAATCAAACTTCGAAGATGGGATTTATGCTAAACAAATGTAGTAAAAGTGAGAAAAATATTTTTTCTTTACATATTTTGTTGAATTAAGTGTTTGTTTGTAAAGGAAGTTAATGCTGTTTTGGGGAGTCATGACATGGAAAACTCTGGGCACCCTGGTCTAGTCAAAGCCCAGATGAAATGTTACAGAGGGTAAGAAAATGAAGCAAAGCAACATTAGATAGAAGAGTTGGTTTAAAAAATCCTCCAAAATTTCATGAAATGCTGCTTTTTTCCATTCTGTCTCCTTCTTTATGTAATTAAGTGACAACATTGAGAAATTTATAGAATTTAAATAGATAAATAAATACAGATAGAATAAAAATAAAACATAGAAACACACCCATCCCTCAATAAAGTGCATAAAATATGAAGAAAAATAATTTATGTGGTGGATTAAATCTGAAAAATAACAGAAAATAGTAATAATAAATGATTATTTGTGTATTTCAGTGTTTTTGTTCTTACTGGTTTCGCGTCCATCGTCGTCGTGAGAAGAACAACGAGGAGAACGACGTTCAGCAGCCCCATCACTGGTTGTTTACTGTCTCTGTAAGAAACATCAAAAATCACATTTACACTGAAGACATGAGAAAATTCACACAGGTCACTTTAACACTGCAAAAACATAAAATCCACCAACTACTTGAGTCCAGTTGAAATATCTCAGTTCACTTGAAATGAGACAAAACTAACTTACAGTAACTTTTCTGCAAATTATCGGCGCTTAAGTAAATAATCCCTTGATATTGATAAAAAGTAAAACCAAATTATTTCATTTTTGACATGAAAAAACAATGTGTCCTGCTTTCCTTTCGTAGTTTTGTTTCATTTCAGTGTATTTTACTCTGAAATCTACAAAATATTTGGTCAAATTTTGCAGTAAAATTTGATTACTTTCTCTAAACTTTGCCAAAACTCCATGAATATATAAACAAAGCCTTATTTATGCTAAAGTAGATCAGGAATCACGCAGCTCCTCACCTGTTGTGTTAAATCCTGAGCCTGAATCTGAACGATTCAGCGTTTCGGTGCAGAAATGCCTCTGAGCTTCCTGCCGGCGCTGCTTCCTTTATCTGGGCCGGGCTCGGGTTCTCTGGTCGGGCCGTGATGGACGGCGGACGTGGGGCGGCGGTTGTGTAAGATCGGTTTTCCCTGGTCTGAGGTGCAGAGGAGGAGCAGAGCGGGAGGTTTACCACACGGCCCAGAATAACCAGCAGAATCTCTGTGTCGAGACTTTTACTGTGAAATCAAATCGACAGGAAATGCTGCTAAACACGCCGAACACCTTTTAAAATTCAGACATGTTGAATTTATCCACCTGTTTTAAAATGTACATCAAATAGCAGTTTTGTCTTTTCAGACATTCACCAAACTTAACCGAGAACATAGAAGAATTAGAAAGGAAATGGATTATTTAATTAAAGGTGACATTCTGTGCTTCCTTAAACATCTTTGGATCCGTCCGTGGCCTATACAAAACCTATTCATTGCATCCTCTTTTTTTGCACAGTCATTCTTAGGTAATGAGACTTTAGCTGTTTTTGTTGCGTCTTGTCACTTTAAATCCAAAATGGCTTCAAACAGATGCGCAATCATAAAACCGTGCATGTTTGAAAAGCAGACGTGGAGCCTCCTGCACAATCAACAATAATCCACTAAGTGGTTTCTGGGTGGTAAGTCTATAATAAATCACTTGTCTCTTCCAGCAGCCATTGTACAGCAGATACAATGGTAAAACCAGCTGACCAAACATGCTGGAGCTCTGCTTAGGTTGCTAGGTGAGGAGCAATGGGGGGGGGGGGGGGGGGGGTTAAAACCATTTAGAAACAGTTTTTTAAATGCCTGGGTTGTTTTTAGAAACAGTAGAAACCTAAATATCAGTATAAATTTGTGCAAAATATTAATTCTGATTGTTGGAAGAAGAAAATTGGGTCAAAATTGGCATAATTATATCACCGTGTGACTTTAGTATTTAATAGATATGATGATTGTGTGACATAAAATGTTGTTTTGGCGAAAACTAAAACACCTACCAGACTTTCTTTTTATAAAGTTAAAATTAATCGACTGCGTCTCAAACAGTTTTCTGCAGTTTTCTGCAGTTTTGTGGAGTTTTGTGCAGTTTTGTGCAGTATTGTGCAGTTTTGTGCAGTTTTGTGGAGTTTTGTGCAGTTTTGTGGAGTTTTGTGCAGTTTTGTGCAGTATTGTGCAGTTTTGTGCAGTTTTGTGGAGTTTTGTGCAGTTTTGTGGAGTTTTGTGCAGTTTTGTGCAGTCGGTGGAATGCAGCATTTGAGACGGAGCGAAGCCACACTTTGATCCGACGTGTGACACCACCGTGTTACTTCACCATCCTGAATCTTTCCCCACCTCTCTTCCTCTCTGCCGCTGCTTGAGAAATTCCTGCGCAGACCTCATCGTGAATCATGAACGAGTCGGAGGACGGTTTCATTTCAGGGCCCAAACCAGCACAAAGAATGCAGAACCGAGGAACCATCCATAAAACCGACAGTAAACACAGCAGCCAGTGCGAACATGGACCGCAAACACCGACTCCTATACTTACAAATATAGATATGTGCCCCATACATTAAATAAAATAAACAACCCTCAACAAAACACAGAGCAATGGCTTCTAATGATCAGTTGTCATCAAGTTAACAGTTGTAAAATTAAACTTAAACTGAACAGTGTTTATTTTTATTATTACAGTTAATAAAAAACATTCAAAACATGGAAGAATTGCACATGAAAACATGAAGTTAAATCTAATAATAATATAATGAAATAATATTATGAACGCATTGCTAACAATAATCCGATTGTTTCAAACAGCGACTGAAAAAAGTGGGAGGGGCTTCCGGTTGCTATGCTAACCGCCAAGCGCACTGATGAAAGAGTTTTAGTTTAGTTTTATAAACCAATTCTGACAAACTTTACATCTATAATAAAACAAAACCAAAAATTATTTTTTGGTTAAATAAAATCTATTAATATATATCATCAATATTGTAGATATTGACATTATTTCCATAAAACAAGATCCTTTATCTTGCTGATATTTGAATGTTTTTACCTTAGTGTTTCAATAGCTAATGCTATCTATGCTAAGCTAACTAGCATTGCTTCAGAAAGCTGCGGGTCTTTTTAGCATTATGTAAACTCACCGGCTAGCTAGTTGCATTAATATGTTTTTGAATAATTAGCCTCCAATAAAAACACAGAAATTGGACTTTTTGTTATCATAATCCAAACCCTGAAACACAAAAACGTTTTTCATTTATGATGCAGGGACAGCAGCTCTATTTCAACCAAGTATTTTTACCTTTTTTGATGAAACTACAGAATGGATTCATAAATCAACTGATAACATAAGAACTTCCTCCTTGTGGCGAGTGCAGAACCGTTGCGTGCAGACGATTTGGATATGACATACAGCGGACCGACTTCCTGGTAATCCGGCCTCGGTTTCACAGCGGGACTCTGTGAACAAACACATCTGAGTCAAAATAACAAAAGACGAGAAGCTGCTGCATGACTGAGAATCCGCTGGTGGAAAAGTCCCAGTTCAGCTCAGTGATGAACATTATCGCCGTGTCTGTGGTCACGTTCAGGAAGCGCTCAAGTTATATTTAGGCAAGTAAACAGTGACTTGGAATGTGGCTAAAATTAAATATTTGTGCACAAGTGAAGTATTAAGAGTAATTTAGATAAAAGACAAGAAAAAATCAGGAAATTTATACCAATAAAACTTTGATTTTTTACATTAATTATACATATTTACAATAAAAGGCTTCGGTGTTCTTTAATTTTGAAAAGTTTAGATTAAAAATCACGTTTATTCTTATTTTCTATCCATTTTTATCATTTTCTTCATCTTTTCCACCAGTAAAAACATCCAGGATCCTTCAGAACAAGGCCGGTGGGTCCAGAGGCCATTAAAGCCTCACTGCGTAGACTGATGTTGAAGCTGATGGTCTCTTTGGATGCAACCGGGGTTGGGAGTAAATGCAAGTATCATGTCAATGACTCTAATTCCATCACAATCATTTTTTCCTTTCCAGTTGAACTGGAGACCAGTGGAGTTTCATCACCATTGAGTCAAGCAGCGCCTCCAGCAACATGTCGTCCTTCACAAACGTGAAGCTTGGATTCTGATGTTGTGCATCTGATGCAGATATGGGGCGGAGCAAATTCACCTCTGAGTCACAGATCATCATCCTGGTCATTATTAGCTCCTCCTTTGCTTCACTCACAGCAGGATGTCTCTGTTGTCTGGTCATTTCTTCCTCTATTCAATCTAAAGTCTAAAACATGCAAAGTTTTGGACTTGAATACAGGAAGTGATGTCATAAGAGGAGTGGGGTTTATTTTAATAAAGATGCCCAAATTTCTTCACCCAGATTGTTACAGGTGTGATTATCGCTACCAATCAGTGATTCAGCACAGCACCAAATAGTTTTAAGTCTTTGACATACAAACAGTGTAAACAAGTCATCAAAAGATAAACAGCATTAAATTATGATCACATGTTTTCCCCGTGTCTCTGTAAATGAAAGCGCCTGTTCAGGTCTCTGTGCCGCAGAAAGAGGTACAGAAAATAACAGATTCTGGTAAAGTTTTCCCACTTTTTCTACCAGTTTGTTTTTATCAGTAAAACTGATTCATGTCAGTTTATGATTATTTTGAAAGCTGGATTGATGATCATTTTATTCAAGCAACATCCAGTTTCTTACCTGGGAAATTGTATCTGATGCTAATAATGCGCTGGATGCTAATGCATCAGATGCTAATGCTAGCTTGTCGGTTTGAAATCAGTTCTATGAAAATGTGAACGAATTTATTAAAAAACTTCATTTTCTTGATCTTTGGTAATATTGATTCAAAAGTTGCAGTTTCATTGGCAGATTATTTCACTCATTATGTTAAAAATATCCTTATAAGTTAAATAGAACTAGTTCTTTTTCATAAATATGATGATTTTTAACTTAAAATAGCCTCATATTTCTAGTGGGAAAGTTATTTGTAACTTAATTTAGTCTTATTTTAAGTGTATTAAATTACTTGTGCTTCAACCTCCCTGGTAAGATTTAATGTCTGTTCTGGAAGAAAACTTTGCAACGTTTGTCTGATCTGCTGGTTTATTTTTGCTCCTGCTGGGACTCGCAGCTTTCAAAAACAAGCAATGTGGTTTAAGGAGGAATGTTTTCATTAATTTTAATGAGTCTGTTTGGGCCTGAAATCTTTAGTTACTTTAACTATGATAAACTGTTTCTCCAAACGAGGAATGGGTTTTAAGGGCAATCAGCAGAATCATTTTCTGTAAAAGATAAGATCTTTGTGGGATAATGGAAGCTGCAGATGATTTACTGACTGAAACATGAATATTCATGTTTCAGAACCTCAAACTGCATCAGAAACGTTTGGCTCCAGGTTTTATCTAAACAGCATTACAGCGATTAAAAGGTTTGGAAAATATCTGGATATTTTAACTGATCATCTTCCTGATTCGACTTGTTATCCTCACAGAAACAAAACCTGAGGAGATTTAAACAAACTTATCTAATTTCTGCCAAATTAAATAAATCATGCCTCATTTTTATTTGAATAAAACACTTTTATAAATACTTAAAGTAAATTCTCCAGTGCAATAGTCTAGAATATCATTAACTTACTGCATATATACTATATGTCTATAAATGTCCCAATTTCACACTAAATATTTTGCTAACTGTTTAACTTGCTAACTAAATAATTTGGAGGTAAATATTCAGATTGGCGCTAAATGTTTCTTTTGCTCCTGTATGTATATTCCTAAATCAACAGTGTTTTGCATGAAGAATGCTGCAGATAATTCATGTTTTTATTGTGACATTTAAGTTGCACAGAGTTAAATGTCTCTGCAAAATGATAGGAGGAATGATTTTAACTTTGAACGTTTTTATTTAACACAAAGGAAAAGCAATGTGTTATTTTAGCTTCTGTAAACACATTCAGGTAAAAGTAATATTTAATTTCTTTTGGCTAAAATCAAGTTTCCAGGTTCAGGAATGCGTTTTCTGACATCTAGTGGTGACAAAAAGTATTGCTCCATTTTCAGAAACAAACTGGTTTGATCAAAACTTCTCCAAATTGATATTTTACAGCATCTCTTTGCTTTTTTTCTACATAAATAATTGTTTATTATGTGATAAATAAACTAATCGGCTGTATGTTTCACCAGCAGCCAAACCGGACCGGAACCGGACCAGAACTGGACCCGTGGATGGGCGAACTCAGGTAAATCCCATTTCTATTCCTGCTTGATGCAAATGATTTTATTAAACTTGGTGAAATCAGCCGCAGAGTTTCAGACGGACAGAAAGTGAAACTTTCTCTAGAAATGAAACTTTGGTTCAGACAAGAGTTTCCGTTCTGTTCGCAAACCAAACAGAATATTTACGACACCTGGCAACACGGTGGCAGCTTTCAGCAAACAGGTTGTGCTTTAATCAAAGAAAACTAGATTTCCTTTTCTTTCTAAATTCAGAAAGAATTTTATAAGAGTAAATATAAAACTATGCAAGAAGATTTTTTTAATCTCAGTATTCGGACAGAAAATTAACAATATGTTTTGGATGGTAGTTTCAAAATGAAATAAAAAACATCTGAACAAATCTTTCAATCTGTATAAATTCACTTATTCAGATCCTTGTGTCTGAACGCAGCTGGTCCAGATGTTGCTCTGGTGCCTGTTGGTCGGCGCTTCCTGCTGTGTAATTATAAAGCCATGTGGACGCGCTGAATGGACTATTCAGGGCCTGATAATCACAGCGTAGCTTGAGAATCTGCTCCTCTGTAATTACCGCTGCCCAGTAATGGCGACAAATTGAGTCGGTTGCATAAAAACGATTCCTTTAAAGATTCTTCATTTGAGACCCTGTGGAGGGTTTTGGGTGTCCTGAGAGCTTAGTGGACCTTTTCAACATGTTTTACACATAAATTACACATTTTAATTATGTAATTATGTTGGGGTTTTTTTTAATAAACCAACAGTTTTAAATATGTTATAAAAAAAAGTTTGGACACTATTGTCTTAGATGCTAGCTAACTAGCTAAACACTAACTAATTGAAATCACAGCTAACCTGCTCTTTAGCCGTTGAGCTAGCTTTATTGTTAGCATGAAGAAAAGCAGTTATTTGAGCTGATTTTTTATCTGGATGACTGTAAACATATATTTATAATTTACATTAACTGAAATACAACAATTACCATCCAGGATAGATAGATAGCTTATTTAGCCTGTCTGTTAGCTAGTTAGCTAGCTAGCTTCAATCATACTAGCTGACTGATTTGCTACCTAGCTTGTTTGTTGTTGTCTTTCTCTTGATGGTAACTTATTGTCATTACGTTTTCTGCTTTCTACTTTATTTATTTTATAAATAATAGCCGATATTGATGGTAGAATTTTAAAATGATGTAACCAATACATTTTTCTTTCAAAATATTGTGAAAAAAACACAGATTTTCTCTGTTTTTGCTATTTTTTTCACAGATAAATGTTTCAGATCATCAAAGAACCAGAGTAAATCTAAAAATCTATTTTAAAATACAGACAATAAAAGAAGTTTTCACATTATTGTAGGGATTTTTGCAGAACAGTTTCAGTCCAACCAAACTGTGGGATTTTCCATCATGAACAGCCTAGTTAAGGTCAAACCACAGCATTTCAATCAGGTTTAAACCAGACTTTTACTAGGCCACTTTAAAACTTTATTGCGTTTTCATTGAGCCATTGAAAGATATGCTGGTGTGTTTATCTTTTGTGCGTCATCAATATTTTGGACAAGATGGCTGAAATGTTTCTGCAGGTTTATCTTTTACAGAGAAAAATCCTGAATCTGTCCAGTTAGCTAGCCACATTGTAGCAGGTAGCTAACTTAGCGACAAGCTCATTTTGATGGCAGTTAGATGTCTGGCCAGCTAATAGGCTGTTAGCTAGCTTGTTGTTAGCTTTTATGACTTAGTGCTCTGCTTATGAAATATTTAATGAGGTTAATTTTTTATCTGATGTCTGAAAACAATAAAACTGTTCAGTTATTAATCTCCCCACTTTCCACTTTTTATTCAGACAGAATTCTGATTATGAAACTGTTTTAATTCACCGCTTCAAAAGAAAAATAAACTTTTCCACATTATTGATTTAATCACTATTTTTAGTTGAACAATTCACACAATCAAAACATAATTATTCTTCACACAAATCAGCAACATTAGTTAAAATTACAAAACAAACTGCTGTAAATACAGAAAACAACTAAAAACAAACAAAATCACAGAATTAGAATTAACTTAAACATGAATGAAGTAATTCATCTATTCATTTGAAAACCACAAAAATGCTGCAAATGATACAAATTCTTAGTTTGATTTTTAAAATGGTCACTATTACTAAACACAATTCACTGGGAAATAAATACTTTCACTAAAAACTAAATTTAACTAATAATTTCTTTGTTCATTTCTTTTTTATCTCACAGTTTTACTTAAAGTAACTCATGTAGCTGCAAGGATTGGAAAGAAAATTGTCAATATTTATGTAAATATAATTTAAATTCCCATCTGAAAATAATTAGTTTTTGTTCTTTTCGGCCTTTTTCATGCAGCTCATAATTCCTACTTCAACTTTCAGTGCAAAAACTTTAAAAAATGTTCTTAACTCCAAAAAATGCCATTCAACCAGTGTTTCTATAGCAGAGACGTTGATAGTCTGACGTTTCTGACGTCTTCGAACGGCTCAGAGTGCAGGATGCGTCGCTGGACCCGGGGTCATCAGGGGTCATACATGGGGTTGGTGAAGTTTCCTAAAGAGCCGTGTTCATGGCCGTCCAGCAGGGGGCCGTACGACGTCCGTCTGCACACAGCAACACAGACATGGTGAATGAAAGTACAGGTGATGCAGTGATTTGGTGTTTTCAGTATTAAGTCTCACCTGAACTTGTGGTGGTATAAACATCCCAGCACCAGCAGAACCAGCAGCAGGAAAACAGCCACGATAATGAAGACGCTACCTGCAAGCAGAACGAGTTTTAAACGCTTGAAAAACGTTACAGTTAGAGGAAGGCCAGTCAGAAACAGGATCCATGTTGGATTTTTAAACTTTGTTTTTCCAGCAGCTTCATGTTTTAAACATGACAGAAATCCAGAGTTTCTTCATTAGAAACCAGATAAATGATAAAAACTCATTGGATTGTTCAGGCTGTCAGTGAACCATGAACTTCTGATCCTTTCCTCTTCCAGCAAATCAGACAAAACTGACCTTTGAACTTTCAAATAAATAGGAAAGCAATAAAACATAAATCGACTCACATTTTAAACTACATATAATTCAGGTTTTCTGCTGAATACCAAAGGTTTGTGTCCTGAATGCATCTGAAACGAAACCCAAAGTTAAACCATAAACTTTCTGAGTCACATTTTATCACCTGCACCAGGCGGCCATGACGGTAGGCCAATAAACGCTGCAGGTGAAGCAACACCTGGATTTATCGGCCCCAAGACTAACAGGTTAAACTTTACGAATCAAAACGTTTGAAGAGAAAAAGTCTGAATTATTCACCGACCAGAGAGGAAGAGCAGTAACTAAAACACCTTTGTTTTTCACGTGTTTGTTTTTAAATCCCATGAAGAAGTGACTGGAAGTTAAACAAGGAAGTAAGAGAAGAAATCGGTTCACATATTAACCACAGCAGGAACTTTTCCACGTTAGAGGTCAGAGAAGTGAGAAGAAGGAAAATGTTGCACAACGACAGCATGAATCATCAGCCGCTGCCATCCATATAGATCCTTAATATTTACATTTTTTAATCAATTTATTTTAATTTTTGCCTCTAAAGTTGAAATAAATGACAATATTTATAAAAATGGTCCTTATTTCAATCATTATTGACTTCTGAGTTTAAAGACGAGAATTTTTATTTATTGACGAGAATAGTCAGCAGAATAAAGACGCAATTTTACCAGGACGTCTTAAAATTTAATTATTTTAATAAATTAAATGAGTTATTTCCTATTAAAATGTATTTAAAGCTTATTTATAATTTTTTGAAATGTATGTTGGACTCTTGATAAAATTATTCACTAATAATAATAATCCAACATAATATTTTCTACTTCTACTCATTGTATTAATGAATATTTGACTGGATGTTTTAAAACAATGATGGAAAAATCTGAAGGCTTTTTGTCATTTTAATCTCAGAAGGAAATTCCCGTCTTTCACCTTTGACCCAAGCGCCATCCATCGTTTACAGAGACCCACCAACTTCTGATCCCTTCAGTTTGGGAAACGTTCCCCGATTTCAAAAGTTTGCATCAGATCACAGATTCAGCCTCCATTTCAACATCAAATCTCTGAAAAATGTAATTATGCAGCAGCAGGTGAACGATTCAGGTCCATTCACTCTTTTCTTTCTTCTCCTTGTAGATTTTGGAAGAAGCTAAATGAGGAAAACCCTCACAAAATATCACAAAAAGTTAACTGGTGGACCTGCCTACCTGGGCTCAGAGCCTTTGACTCGTCTTGCCCCTGATGCGGCGGCGGACTGCTGGTGGGGGCAGCATCAGGGCTGGTGGGGGCAGCATCAGGACTGCTGGTGGGGGCAGTATCAGGCCTGCTGGTGGGGGCAGCATCAGGACTGCTGGTGGGGGCAGCATCAGGCCTGCTGGTGGGGGCGCCAGTTGAGCTTGGTGGTTCTGAGGCCATTTTGCTGGTTGTGGAACCAGTTCTGGTGGTAGAGATGCTGGTGGCGGCTACGGTGGTTGTCGATTGGTCAGTTATGTGGGTGACGATCGTATTGGCAGTGTCAGAGGTCGCCGTGGATGATGATGGTGGTGATGAAGATGCAGAAAATGGCCGTCGTGCCGTTTTCAGTTTGAGATGATGTGGTTGATGAGTTGGAATCCATTGACGAATTTATAGATGTCGTTATTGGTGGTGTCATCGTTGGTGGTGTTGGTGGTGCTTTAGTTGTCGTCATTATTGGTGTTGTCGTTGTTATTGGTGTTGTTGTTATTTGTGGTGTTGTCGTTGGTGGTGTTGTTGTCGTCGTTATTGGTGTTGTTGTCGTCGTTATTGGTGTAGTTGTCATTGGTGTTTGTGTTATTGTTGTTGTTATTGGTGGTGTGTTGTGGTGCTTTAGTTGTCATTGGTGTTGTCGTCGTTATTGGTGGTGTCGTCGTTATTGGTGGTGTTATTGTTGGTGCTTCAGTTGTCATTGATGTCGTTGCCATCGTTGTATTTGGCGTCTGTCCTGACGCCGATGATAACAGCAGACCTGTAATTCCACACAAACGACATTTCAGTCTTTTTCCACTCTGGATGTCTTATGGTTTGCAGACCAGCTGTTTCTCTACAATACTCTATATTTTGAGACGTAAAAACTCAAAACCAGTCAAGAAAAATTCCCCTTAGTTGATTCTACATGTGTGTTGCACATTTCAGCAACTCAAAGTGCTTCACATCATGAAAACATCAACAGTTGTGAAAATGAGAAACAGACGTTACATTTTGTTCATGTTGGTTAATATTCAACTTATTATGCATTTTGATGATGGAAACAGAAAAGGCCCAACAGCTGCCCTGTGGAACTCCAGATTGTGCATTTTCTATGGATGAGAAAATATGAATTTGAGTTTATTCTTGGAATATTATCACTTTTTTGCACATTGAAAAAATATACATTATTCTTAATCTAATCCTCTGTCAGAGTTTTGTTTGTTTCTTTACAAAATGGTTGCAAAGATGTGCAGCAGATAGAAAATGAACTCAAAATATCGATACTATCATTTATCACAGAAATTCCTGGAACAATTTTATCATGCAGTAAAATTGTTATCATGACAGAACAATGCATTCTTAGTTTTATTCTTTAAAAAGCATTTTTTAGGGAATTTCTTCATGTTTTGCTTCAGTGTTTCTAACTAAAGCCACGCTGATGTTTTTCTGAGACGCGCGCCGCGTTGGTGTGCAGGAAGTGGAAACTGAGATCCGGTGCGACGCTTCTGAGAGTTTCTCTCTCTGTTTGGCCTCAATTTTGTTTTTCAAACTGATAAAACGTTTCATTCGCCTCAGAATCTGTATGAAAACACTTCCTGTCATTAAAAACCACAAGCCAACCTTTCCCCTCCAGCCTCCACTGGCTTAGTTAAAGTAGCTGCTGTTAATCAATCAATCATTGATAAAACCTTTGAACTGTGGAGCTTTCCTCAAAATCCAGGTTTTAATTCAAACTTTCTCGAACTTCTTTTGGGAAACGGCGGAGGAGATCAGGTTGTTTGGTTTTCAGCATCATTTAACATTTAAACAAACTCATTAATCTGAATATTGTCCAGGCATTTGGGAGAACTGCTACCAGAGCAAATGACTTACATGTTATCAGCGTTTGCAGACTGACGCTCATCTTGCTTTTATCTTCCTGAGCCGCTGATCTTTGCTCCCTCTGGACGTCTGAGCGGTTCCCTGCCTGGAGCCGGTTCTGGTTCTGGTTCTGGTTATAACATGGAGAGAGGGGGGCGGTACCGCTGACTGAGTCAGACCTCAGAGGGCAGCCCAGTCCGCGTTCAGGAAGCTGTTAGAGGTGACAGCGTGTGGTTGGTTTATTTTTAGGCTCCATGTTCTGGAGTTTAATAACTGACATTTATTATGAAACACAAGATGAGTTGTTTTTATTTCTATGATTTTAATTCTGGTATAAATGTTTAGTTTTTGTTGTTTTATGGTGATAGAGTTCAGTGATTTAATGTTAAACTAGCAGCAACGTCTGAGTTGTAATTACAAGCATCCAGCAGCAGAGGGCAGCACAAGCTTTAAATACAACCAGGAAGCATGTGAAGGTTTAAAGGACAAGTGCACCATTTATTGAGTGACTGGATACCTCAATATTAATCTGTCAATAATAACCTTATTTCCTAATGTATTCTGTAATATAGTTATTTTATTTTACATTTTATTTTTGCATTTGTTCATTTTTTTACAGTTTTATCTCCTATTTATTTATATCCAGTTTTATTTTCTCATTAATTTTCTATTTTGATTAATCTTTTTTTATTTCCACTTTAGTTCTATTTCCTATTTATTTAGTTGAATTTAATTTAGTCATTTATTATTATCAGTTTATTTCCTCTTTGTTTTCAATATTAGTTTATTAATCGTTTTATTTCCTCTCTTTTTATTTTATGGCTTTTTTCCAATCTTCTCTCCTCCCGTATAAAAACAGTCCAGCAGGGGGCAGCATGTTCCTATGAAAGTGGCCCTGATTGCCGATATTATAATAACAGAAAGTGTTTAATTTGAAAGCCTAGAATTTAAAACTAATCTTTTTGTGATCACATTCAGTCCTTTTTAAACCATAAAGTCATCGTCACAAAGATTCCAGAAAATTGGTTCTGGTACCACCAGAACTCGTCAGATTGGCTTTATGTAGGTCTGAAGGATTTGTTCCTGCTCTGATCAGCTGCTGCGGTTCACATTCACACCGAAATGAACCAAACTCCAAAGGACCTGTTCCCCTCCTGGCCTGTGGGGGCGCCGCACCAAGAACCACTGAAGGAAACGACAAGAAAATCTCTGAAGACACTGAACGCAACTTTGTTCATTTACAAAATGTAAACAAATGGCGAGGCATCAGATTTTAGCGGTTGGAGGATTTTTATTTCTCATGCTAGCGCTTGGCTAGTGTGTTTGTTTTGGTTGTATTTACCCAGAATGCCCTGTGCTGTAGTTCACTTCCTGATTCTGGAGCGGTCTCCAGTGTAACAGCTCAGTCAAGCCTCTTTTTAGTTCAGTTACACGTTCACACCTCTCCAACAGAACCGGCTAAACAGAGCTGTTGTGAAATTTCACTAAAGTGCAGAGCATTGTGGGTAAAAACAGCCAAAAACAGTGTTAGCCTAGCGCTAGCAGGAAAAATGGATCGTGGTTTTGAACCAGAGACAAAAGAGAAATCCTCTAACCGATAAAATTGTATGCCGCTTCATTTTTGTTCCCATTTGGTGAAAAAGGAAGTGGCGCTCAGTGTCTTCAGAGGTTTTCTTGTCATTTCCTTCAGCGGTTTTTGATGCAGCGCCCCCACAGGCGAGGAGGGGAACAGCTTTTCCAAAAGGTTCAAATCAAGAAAATGTAACAAATGTTGCAAATTTGGTCGCAACCAAACCAAGTCAGTCTCAGGTGTTGACACAGATTGTAGCAAAGATATTCATAGATTTTCTTAATGTGCAGTAAATCGGGTGGCAGGAATCACTGCAAGTGTTTTTACAGACGGACAAAGTTTCAAAACGTTAAAGGACAAAGTTGACTTTGACTTTACAGTTGCGTAGTTGCTGTCAGTGTAGATTTTACTGCTGCAGGTCACAGGAAGAAGTTTATCTTCACCCCAGGAAGAGATGAAATAATTGACCCCTCATGCAGTGACCTTTAATTTCTGTCTGATTGCCTAATTAATGAATTGGTTAGCAAAAACAACGAGGCGATCGCAAACCTCTGCAGGTTGTGAGACTTTATTTCTCGGTAACGGAGGCTCAGCAGGAAAACCTGCGTGCAGGTGAATCTCCGTTTTCCAAAATCCTTCGCTTTTTATGACACAAGAGCTTCGGAGCTGCTCCGAACACAAAGGGAGTAAAACATTAAAGGGATTTTCAGGTGCCACTTGATCAATAGAATAATGGGGATAATTATCTCTCAAGAGGGGAAAGGTCTGCAATTTAAACAGATTGTGATTAAAGCTGAAGCCGGGCCTCTGCTGGGTTTTGTCTGAACCAATCGCCTCCATTTGGACGCGAATTTAAAGAGTTTGGAGTCAATTTTCTACTGCAAACAATACATTCAGTTCACATGTGGCTGGAAAGAGAAACAGAATGAGGAAGTCTTTATTATGGGTATGAAAACTAATTGGACTGCTCTGTTTTCAAACAGATTGAATTGTTTTTAAAAAGAGTGAAAACCTTTGCAGCAGAGACACTGGCAATGAAATGAGCCCGCAGCATGATGCTTTCTCCTCCATGCTGGCAAAGAGTTAACAGGTTTCCAAGCTTTGATCAGCGTAAAGTTACAAATTAACAACTTTTAGGTGATTTTAGCTTTTCTGGAAGAAACAATTAGGTCATATTTTTGCTATTTTATAAGGTTATAAATATCACAGTCAAATATTTAGCATTTAAATAAAAAACTAAATAGTTACCAAGTTAAATATTTAGTTAGCATGCTAAATATGTGGCTCTATGGTAAATGTCACTCCAAGCTACATATTTAATTTCAAAATAATCCTCAGTGTATTTGTTTAGTTATTCCAGACATGAATGAAGGAAATGATGCAGTTTGGCAAACTGGTGACTTTTGTAACTTGTTTGCAATAAAAACCATAAGCAACATAATTTAAAGAGCTTGGAATAATAAAATATTCTCTTTGAGCTTCAGTCAGAATATGGTTATAAAAACAAAACTGTGTCCAACCCGTTTGCTGTAACCAAAGGCTGCATGTGCAACTCTGACCATCCAGTTCACACTGTTATCAAACTGTTATCCACTCACATCCTGGTGTCTCAGATGGGTCACAAAAAGACCCAATGAACCGTTTGCACTTTAAGCTGAGGCAGCGTTGGCGTTGGCGGCGGCGGCTCATTCCCTCTAAATTCAGCGCGTTGCAATCAGCCAAACTTAACGAACCGCTGACCTTTCACCGGCCCTCACCACATGTATGATTTGCATTTATATTGTCGGAGTGACAGTGAAGCCTGGCGCAGTGGCTGCAGCCTGAACCGTCGGATAAGCTGACGTATCGGATCAATCAGGAACGTTCCGGGTCTCCAGAACCCGGCCGTATTTGAATTTCCAGCTTCAGATCCGATGACGCTGCAGAGATTGGGGTCGAGGACGATGATCAGCGAACAGCTGCTGAGCAGAGATACAACCGCAGGAAAGAGAGAAAACAGCCTGCTGAGGAAATTTCTGCAAATGTTTCTGTTTCCACAAATCTGCCATAAAGACGAAAGGCAATAATTATAAACCTCTGCTCAACATGAAAGCTTTTTTTTTTGTAAATGTAATAAACTACGAGATCACTCACTGTGTTTCTATTA